CTTGGCATGCATTTCTTTATTGTTTTTCCCATTCAATTCTACATTCAGCATATGAAGTCGTCGCCTCACTTCCTCAAGGCAATGTTCCTGAAACTTTTCATTGTCTGCAAAATGTATAAAATTTTCTAACCTTCTGTATGGGTCCTCACCATTCCAAGTTTTGTCATGCGTGAAGGCTACGTAAAGGTACTGCAGTTCTTCTGCGACATCCGTGGTGGAGGCACGACGGAGGACGTTTTTCGCAAATATTCCCACAGCACCCGGATCAAGGGACCGATCAAGAAATCTTTTAAGCAAAACCGCAAGCATCTCCTTTCGCATCTCTGTTCCACAATCCACTGGGTCCCACGGTGTACGTTGTGTTACAGCCTTAATTGCATCCGCTAACAGAGACATCAGAGAGCTTTGAGACGATGCAATTTCGTTTTTCCTATCGTTTTCGGCCCAAGAGGACATGGTGCGACGTGCACTTTCCGCAAGCACCGAGGTGGTGGCTTGTCTAGCTGCCTTTTGGATGACAGACAACCGCGATGCAAACGTCAAACGGACGGATTCCCTCAACTCCTCAAAGGCCAACCCCGTCGCGTATTCTCGGGGGACCTCGATGGACTTCAGCCAGGAGGGGTCTGCCATCCACGAGGGCATGTATGACCGCCGGGAAACTTGCGCCATCCTCCTTTCCTCCGCCTGCGCCGCCACAAATGCAGAGCCCGGATACTCCATTCGACATTCGCGGCCGTAAGGCAAAAGACAACCCACACCTTACCACACACACACACACACAACTCAATCAGCCACTAGCTCTGCGTCCGTCAAAAAATCCGTCAGCAATTGCCCCGGAATAACTGTCAGGATAAGGCCTTTTCCCCTCTATCCCTACACAACGAAAAAGAAGATGAAAAAGGAAGACGACAGCTTGCTTCATTGCACACAGCATCCCCTTCCTCAGATGAATATGTCCAACACGCATATACAGGTGAAGCAATTAACTCATTATTCAGTTTACAATAAAAAAGTTTGTTTTGAAATCACAACGTGGTAGTCGTTGGGCTCCTTTGCGCAGCACACAAAAAAAGCACCAAAAACAATACCAAACTGAAATAGTAATAATAATAAGGCTTTTCCATGAAGCGTTGGTTAGCTCCATATTTTCTCGGATGCCCAGTCGTGTAACATGTCTGAGGGCAAAGCGGTGAATGCTTCATGACGTCGCCTCTTTTTGGAAAAGGAGAAGTTGTTTGGTGTGCACTAACTGACGACGTAACTGCTCCGCCAAGAAATTTCGACGCCGAACGTACATGAGCAGTTCGTGAAGCTCTTCATTCACCTTGGCTGATAAGGCTTCCACCCTGCCATCACGGAAGGTCCACTGATTGACTTCGACCACCGGCAATTCAGGGGCATCCTCGTAATGTTCCCTTCGAAGTCGACGTGCATAAGCGTTTAGATTTGAAGCAATTCGGGCGGCTAACGCATCCTCGTCCACAAACACCTCTCGCCGTTGTTGCCGAGAGAAAAACGAGACGCCATCACTATCAGAACCACAACCAACAGTGTCGCCACAGTAGCGCTGGGCTGCAGCATTCACTTCTTTTGGGGCCCTCTCCCCCTTCCCGCTGCTGAGCATGCGCATGTAGAAGCAGTACGGAAACTCTCCACCATCAGCATCCCTCCTTCCTCGCGTTGGATGTTTATTCGCGCCCGTATCGCTGATCCCACTTCTGACACCGCCAGCGAATAGCCGATCGTCATCCTCCAGCATCTCTCTGCCCTCCTCCTCGCGACCGCTGACGCCGAAAAGGGCCCGTATTTGCTCACACCAAACCGCGTACCGCTCCGCATCACTTAAAGCAGTGTCGGACAGGCGCATGCTTCGCCGCCGGTCCTCCTCCTCGTCAAAAAAAAAAAAAAAAAAAAATGGAATGGCGACTAAACCAGGCACAGCAGCTCCCCCAACAATAACAAAAAATCCACAAGCAAAAGCCAAAATAAAAGAAAAAATCCCATACCATAAAAAAGAAACAGAACAGGACTGCGCGTAAATTCATAAATCCATCAGAGGCTGCGGCGACAGGGAATGACATCGACGTGGTCCTAACAACTTTTCACCCACTCGTCTCCACACCAAAAAAAAAGAGCTGAAAAAAAAAACTCATTCATTCTTTTTTTTGTTCCTTTTCGCCTCGTGCCCTACATGATTTCTTCACCCAGTCGATATGCATCAAAAGAAAAAAGCTCCTACATTTTTATTATTATTATTATTTACATGCATTTATTCATCGCTTCTTTTGTTGCTGTTTTATTTTTCTTTTACAAATTATTTAATTTTCTTTTTTTCTTTTTTTTGTTCCCCGTTAAATGCCGCTCCTGCTCGTCACGATCCTGCCGTGTCACAAACGACAGTACCGCCTCAATTAGTCAGCGGTGTTGGGGCGAGATGAATGAAAGAACCACACAATGGACAGCTCAAAAAAGAAGAGCGAGAGAGAGAGAGAGAGATAAAAGGAATATACATACATCCATATATATATATTAAGAAGAGAGAAAATGATCAAACACCAGCGAAATAGTCCGAATCAATTACATGTCTCATCTCCATCCTCTTCATGCACACAAAAACGGGCAAAGACACAGACAGACAGACAAACAGACTGCCCCGATCTATTCTCCGCGTTCCTTTTCTTTTTTTCTTCTTGAGTCCCTTATTAACTTCATGCGCATTCCCTCCCCCCTTCATTTATTTCCCCTTTCCTCTTTGGATTGTCTCGCAAGTCAGTTCTGCTCTATAACTTTAATCTCTCTTTCTTTTTTTTCCATTATTTACCTTCCTTTTTTTTTTTGATGCGTTCCTCCTCTCCCCTTTCCCTGTGGAAGCGTCTCCATCGCTGCTTCGTTTTTATCCTTCTCCTTCCGCCATCTTCCTCTCTTTCACGTTCCTCCGGCAGTGGTATGCGCGGAATTCAAAGCGCACATGCACATCTTACGCACAAAGAACTCTCATAAAGATGAGAGCAATAAAGAAATGACGGATGAAAGAGCACATCAAATAAAGTAAGGAATTTCAAAACATATTTTATTTGCTCTTAAAAACATAAAAAAAGGGGGGAAAAAAGCTCACAGCTGTCTGAGCAGCCGTGATTACATTTTCCCCTTGTGTCAGACTTTTTTTTTTTCCTTTATCTCCTTCTTAAGAAGAATGCCTCACAAAAAAAAAAAAAAAACGGAAAAATCAACTCCCTTTCGCTCGTCCGCTCTTATATATGATATATATCATTGTGACCACATTCTTGTTTCCTTTCTTCTTGCCTTCATACGTTCTATCATCGCTCCACGCCTCTTCTTCCCGTTCCCCCAAGATCAGAAGGTTAAAAAGAAAAAAAAATGAGGAGAGACACGCAAGCACACTACTTCTTGCCAGTGCCACCGCTGGTGCCAAGACCAAGCGTGCTCTTGTAAGTATCGTAGATCCACCACTGCAGTCCGGTGAGCGTGCCAATCATGAGGATACGCGCCACAAGCCCCTTGGTGCAGAGATTAACGTATCCCATCTCGGCGGCGATCTGACCATAGCCCTTGCCTGCATTTGCCGCCTTACCACGGGCAGAGACAAGGGAATCGGCAGGATGAGAAACAATAGCGCACACAATACCTGCAACATAGCCCGATGCGAAAGTAATACTGAGCTGTGTTGCCTTACTGTACTCATTCTTTGGTTTCGTAAAGACATACGTGTAGAACAGTCGCACCACCTTCTCAAAGAAGTAAAACTTCGCCATCGTATACGGGACTTGACGGGACCAGAGCGGGACAAGTGACTTGAACGGGAAGCCGGATTTGGGATCAGCTCGCATTGCGGCAACAGCGGCGCCAAAGGCGGTGGGAAACGTTCCACTAGGAGAGGTCTGAACCTTCACCTTCACCATTTCCATCGGGCAGAGACAATGTCAGCAAAGAATTCGGCACTGGCCGAGCCCGCAAGCCAAATGAGTCCCTCATACTGCTTTGCTGCCTGCTCGCCGGCGAGGTTAGCATACAAATCCTTAAAGACCTCATACAAACCAAATTTAAATGCACCCTGAATGGAGTACCCAAAGAGGGTGGGCAACCAGCCCTTCCATATGCCTTTCGAGCCACATCCATCCTCCGAGAGGACCACCTTGAAGCCAGAAAAGATGCCCTTAAACTTCTCAGGACTCACTTGCATGTTGCACTTTACAACATCAAGTGGGCAAACCAAAGTGTGTGTCAGGCCGCACGAGATGACACCACCGCCCAGACACTTGAGATAGTACGAGTTTGTGTGGGGAATGTCCGGGTTGAGATAACGTGCATCCCAAGGCTTTTTCGCCGTCATAGCTGCCAATTATTTTTTCCTTTTCTTGCTTTATCAGTATTGTTGCTTGGTTGCTTAAATTCCCGCAAGGTACCCGTTAAAAAAAATAAAATAAAATAAATAAATAACGGCGAATGTAAGACCAGAAAAGAGAGGCGCGAGGGTGCAAACCACCACTAATATAACACGGGAACTCAAACGGCTACATAATAACACCAACAATAATACATACAGCTGAGATAAGAGGAGGAGGTACGGGAACACAAAATTAACAAGCATTAATTTTTATTCAGAGTAAGGCAACAATTTAAACGAAACAAGGAAACACAACAACAACAACCCAAAAAAAAGAAAAAAAAACCCTGACAACAAGTCAAACAGCACAGCATGGAAAAGAAAGGGAGAGAGAGTGTGTGTGAGAAAAAAAAAAAAGCGGTCAAATTGGCAAACCCAGTACCACACTAATTGAATTTCCTACCGAGGATTTGGTAGGCGGCGGGAATAAATGTGGTAAATTGCATGCACAAAACAATCCCATCTTGACCCTCACCAACCCTTCCATCTGACCTACTTTTTCATATGACCTTTTTTTCATCTTCCTCATTGTACATGCAGCATCCCCTTTAAATAATAATAATAATAATAATAAATGAATGAATAAGAAATCTTAATTATGTTTTTGTCCGCCTTTATCTTCCGACACTTCACAGTCGATAAATGTGTGGTTCGGATGAGTTTTTCGCCACTCATTCGACTCGTGTTCTAAGACGGTTCCATAAGTCTGCATGTCGGCATCTTCGTACTCCTCAACCAACTCTCCCGCAAACCCCTCCGGCCTAAAGAAACGCACCCCAACATAGGAAATAACCATCGTTCCAACAACCAATACAACCGTGCCAAAAAAGAGTACAACGCTTCCAAACATCGATACCACAATGAGGACAACACTGAACGCAATCGGCACACCACCCCAAAGTGACGCCGCAATGAGGCCTCCTGGGGCCCTATAAGGACGCTCCAGAAAAGGCTGCTTGAACCGAAGTTCCAAAAACACAACAAGAATCGCAATAAGGCGCAAACAATATAAAATTTGGTCCAGCTCCACTAAAGTTTGAAAGGAAAAAAAAACAGAAAGAAGACA